CAGAAGCTGACACGGCGGCCGGAGCTCCGAGCCCGCGGGCTACCACACCGCGAGAGAGAACCGAACCGCCACGGCCCGGACTTTTCCCCCCCTGGAAATTACTTTAAAAAGGAATATGTTTGCATTTGTTATTTACATTGTATAATTTTGTGTGTGTTTTTTATCCTCACCCGAGGATATTTTTCCATTTTTTGTACAGATAGAGCGGGAGGGAGAGAGAGGAAGAGAGAGAGAGAGAAACATCGATGTGAAAGGGACACATCGAGTGGCTGCCACCCGCACGACCGACCAGGGCCGGGGACAAACTGCAACCGAAGTACATGCCCTTAGCGGGAACTGAACCCGGGTCTCTCCGGACCGCAGGTCGACACTCTAACCGCTGAGCCAAACTGGCCAGGGCTACATTGTATAATTTTGTACATATTAATAGGATCTGCCATTTTTATTGATCCCGGAATGACCAAACCAGCCTGTAGGGCCTTCCCTGTCCGACTTCCAACCTCACCTGTGGTGGGAGCGTGTTCATTATAATCTCAAAGGGGAGAAAACAAAAACAAAAACGTAAAAAAAACAACAAAGCAAAATCAACAACAAAACCATCTTATTAGAGCATTCCAGTAACATTGTGTATTTAGCTGTGCTGTAGTAGTTGGTTTGTGTAAGATGGTTAAAAGGGCCAAAGATATTTCTCTGCCCATCCTCCTGTCTATTTGTATTTTTTGGCCTGTTTGATTTATGTGTGAAACAATGTTGTCCAACAATAAACTGGAATTTTAATTTGCTGAGTTATTCTAACAAAACCCAAAGTTGCTCACAGGGAGGGACAAGAATTGACTATATCTTTTCTGAAGTGATTAAAATGTTTCACTTCTTAATTGGGATGTTGATTATATTTTCAAAATTAAACAATTATACATTTAAGTGCATTTCACTATATATCAATATAATCTTTAAAGAAAGCCCTTGAACAATCTGTACAACAACCATGCTCATTACACACACACACACACACACACACACACACCACAGACACACGTACTCATATTAAACATCAGATTGCAAAAATGAAAATCTAATGATCAGTGAGTATGTGGAACAACCAGAACTTGTATTCTCTGCTTGTGGGAATGCAAACAAGCTGAAGATATTTAGTACAGGTGAATGTGTGCATATGTTCCAGCAATTCCACCACCAACTGTGCACCTCCCCAAAATCGCGTGCAAACACGTACTGTATATTTAAAGCAGTACTGTCAATAGTTATAAATGAGAAGCCACCAAAAGGAAAATGGGTATATAAATTGTGCATCCAAATATCAAACAGCAGTAAAAATGAAAAGAGCAGTTACTCCATCAGCTGTTTCTGAGTAGAGCTACTCAGCAACAGAATGTTGAGTGAAAAAAATGATGCAGAAAAATATACATTGCATGATACCATTTATGCAAAACTTGAAAATATAAAATCTCAATTCTATAAACTCTCTCTACATGTATGCATAAGTAGGAATGTTATGAAAACATGAATGAATAGTAAGCATTGAATTTAGGATAATGGTTACCTCTAGGGAGGAAAAGAGGTGCACAGGGGCTCCATCTATTTATAATGTTTTATTTTAAAAATGTGAAGCAAATGTGGAAAAATATTAATATCTCTTGTGCTAGGGGGTGGATACAGGGTATTTATTTGAGATACTATTCTACATGCACTTCTGTATGTTAAAATATTTCAAGATAAACAAAGAGAAGTCAACTCTCTGACAACTCAAGCTTAGAGAGACTTGTGTAAGGAATTAATAAATAGTTTCATTGTCTCCTGAACAGAAACTTAAACTGCCCAAGAAATATAGGAGTCATTTATTCTTTGGAGCTTTGGTATATTTCGGCTCATTCATTTATTTTTATCCTCTTTCCACAAAGGATTCAAGGTAGCTTGCAACAAAAGATACACACAATGAGCCGGGAAAACATAAACATAAGTAGAAAATCAGGATCAAAGACAACAAATATTCCATCAATACTGGTTAACCACAGTTGCTGTGATCAAGTTTCAAACTTGGCTCTGAACTTCTTGGCAACAGTAACCATTTCATCTCCAGCTGACCCATAAAAGCAGGTTACGAAAACTAACCTTTGTTCTTCAGAATTTAAACTTAGTACTTTCCTGAGCAATCTCTCTGGATTCTATTTTTCATTTTGCCTTGCTCATCAGCCAGGTTCTTCTTTCCTTTGTTCTTTTGTTCCTCCTTTCCCCTCCTGCCTCCTTCCCTCCCTCCTTCCCTTTTCCTTTCTTTTCCTTTATTTTATCCAAATGCCAGGTCCCTAAGACTGGCAGTGGTTATGAAAGCAGGTTCTATTTACTATCTATTGGCTGAAATATCCTCAGGTGAGGTTTCTAACTTCTTATGTCTGAATTTTCTAATGTTCAAATGGGGATATCTATCATATGTATATCAGTGTTAGGAGATTAAATGAGATAATGCAGGTGAAAAGCTTTGATTGGTGCTAGTTACTGCTCAATAACTCTTAGTTGTTGCTCTGATTATTATTACTCAGTGGAGGAGAGTATGAATCACAGTGCATTCCCTGCCCCGGTCAGGAACAGATCAGGAGCAGGGTAAGGCTCACTGTCTCACAGGCAAGACCGTCAATAGCGTGAAACTCAGGAAGTGGGAGCCGATACCAGCACCACCCTCAGACCCAGCTGCACAGTTCACCAGCCTCAGATCCCACGGTGCACTTAGCAGCCATCCCCAGACCTAGCAGCACACTTAATCCTCCAGCTGTTGCACCAGAACATGAGGGATACTGGACATTTCTGCTTCTGAGGCAAACACAATATTCTGTTTCTGCTTGAGATTCCCTTTGGAGAAAAGCAACCCGTGAGCACACACTAGCCTGGGCAGCCTCAGACCCTGAGATGTGCCCCTTCCTGAAGACCGGGGAGAAGCCCAAGCAGACGGGGTAACTGATTCCAGGGATCACCACTGACAACCTAGGACCCTCACTGGATTCCAGGCCCAGCACACCCCTGCTCCCTGTGTCCTTTCATCTGGAGATAATCTCCATTTTGCCAGGAGTTCCAGCAAAATAGGTTGGGAGGAAGCTGAGCTGAAGGGGAGAGGAACTAGATAGGAGGATGCAGACATTGGGAGTTTGGAACCAGGCAAAATAAGGATTCAAGAAATAGAAATCAATCAGTATGGGGCAGACAAGAGGGAGCTCAAGTACAAAGGGATGAGAGATCCAGTGACTAAAGCGGGGGCACAAGGAGGTTTGGTTTCAAGAACACAGCAGACACCCCATCACGAGGTCTGAAGCAGAGGGTCTAAGCCAGCAGTGCCTGTGGGCTCACTAAGTCTGAGTGCAGACTCAGGTTTCCTTAAACTCCCAGCATGATAGGGGGCCAGGAATGCATGTACACGTGAGGGCCAAGTCCCTTTAGCATCAGGGATGAGAGGGTTGAGGGAGGAGAGGCAGCATTCAGGAAATTAGACAGATTACTTACCAAGCAGCCCACCCATTCACCCGCAAGCCCAGAGTGAGCAACCATTCCCACACTGCTGAGGAGTCACGAGTTCTTGCTTTTCCTTTTCACTAGAAGCCCACAAACATGATATTCTTGTTCTCATCTCAACATCACCCTCAAGGTGGGAAATCTCATTTCTATATCAAACAAGATATAAATCCCAGGAGGAATCACCCTTTACTAGCCAGATGAGAGGTCCATATGTCAATTTAGAGACTGAAGGGTCATCAAGAAACGTTAATAGCTCTTCTGTCCTGGGCCACCAATTCTGTGGTTCAACTTGTATCTAGAAGAATAATACCTCCATTGATTGGCTGTTCACTGTGTACCAGGCATTATAATAAATGCTTTAAGTACATTATATCTCATTTGATCCTCACAACAATATTATGAGGTGGGTACTAGTGTGAAGAAACTGAGGTTCAGATTGGTCACATACTATCAAGATGGTAGCTCTAGTGCCAAGATACAAACCCAGGACAGTGTGACTTAAAAAGCCACATTCTGAAACATGTAACCTCCCAAACTTGAGCACTCCTTTTTGGGAGAGGATGACCAAAAACTCTTACAGACATGAGGCCTTTCTTAGAGCTGCAGAAGCAGCTTACCTGCTTCCTTCCAAACATTTCTGTATGACTTTGTTGTCCTATTTCATTCCTGGTCCACGCCTTGGTGGTCCCGCTGCCAGTTAAAAGCTTAGGCAAAATCTGAGCAAATCCAAGAAGTCCTATTTACTGACCTGTGAGATTATTTTCTAAAGGTGTCCCATGTCTCGCTATGGTAATACACTCCAACCAACCTCCTGAGCAGCCTAAACTAGGACAAACCCCTGCTTACTTCCTGTTTACCTGTTCGGTCTTTAAATGGAACTAGAACAATTAGAACCTTTCACCTGTAAATCCCTAATACCTCTGAGGCACAGGTGCACAGCCTGCCTGAGAAAAGAGCTCAAGAAGAGCTATCAATAGGTGGAAACACGTTTCAGAGAAGCCAACTTACTGATTTGTAACTGCATTGTACATTCACTAAGAATCTCTTAAGACAGTGTCTTCTTCCTGCCTCAGTTTTGACTCATTTTCAGATTTTCTGCCCACAGTGATCCTTAGGATCTCCTGTGGCACTCGAGGGTATGTACCACGAAGATCAGGACATCTTCCTACGAAAGTGAAGAGAAGGGCTCCTACTCAGCTAAAGAGGAATGTGCAATAAAATGACTATTCTGGCCCTGGCTGGTTTGGCTCAGTGGTTGGAGTGTCGGCCTGCAGACCTAAAAGTCATGGGTTCGATTCCCATCAAGGGCACATACCTCAGCTGCGGTTGGGTCCTGGCCCTGGGTCCTGGTCACACGGGGGCAGCCAGTCGATGTGTCTCTCTCATATCAATGTTTCTCTTTCTCTCTCTCTCTCTCCCTCCTTTCCATTTTTTTTTTTTTAAATGACGATTCTGACTGGAATAATGAAGCAAACACTTTGTTTACTAATTTATTAGTAAGTTTAATAAACTTATAAAAAAACATATTTTTGGCTTTGAAATCATGACATAAAATAAAAAGGCAAATAACTGGAAATTATGGGCTGAAAGACAGTAGTAGCAACTCATGCCAAACCATGGGCAGAGCCTCCCTCCACCTCTGGGCCTCAGCAGGGCACCAGTGGAGCAGGAGCTGCAGGTGCAGTGCGGTGCCCAGGCCCAGGCCGGGTCTACGCACTGCTCATTCCCTAAGGTAGTTTGGTCCTCATACATAGGAAACTAGGCCTGCCTGTCTCTTGATTCCTAACCTTGAACTACGAGAATAGTAGGTAATAATGATTTGATGCGTCCCGGTTTGTAGGATAGTGTTGCTGCTGTCTTAATTTACTTAACCTACATGTTTTCAGCCTTCAAGAACATAAAACTGCTAAAATCAGCTGTAACTATAAGCCATTTCTATTTTTGGTCAGTTATCTGCTGTAGGCAATGCTTCATGTAGGAATTTGTATTGCGAGTTTCGATGACTGCATCCCTAACTAGCTCGATGAACATCTGTGGCCAAAGCTTCTGCAAAGCCTCCTTTTTCACATTGATTTCTGTGGCTTCCTTCACAAGGTCCTCTATATACATCTTGCAGAATTTCTTTTTTTCCTTTGTTTCCTGTTAAGAAAAGAAAAAATTTGCACTGAATCATAATTAATCCAAAAGCCAAAGCAACAATGAGCTGAACCAGAGAAACTTGAAATACTCTGTTCTAACCCCTCTTGTCAGAGCAATAATACTTCCTAGACAGTCTGGATGCAGAGCTGTGCTTCAGAAAAGAAGCAATAAAGAGCTCCCTACTTCCCAGCCGACTCCTACCTCTGTTGGACAACTCTGTGAGAAAATGTGTTTCCTCACTGGAATCACTGGATCACAACTGCTATTTCTCCCTTGGTAGGCATTCTCCTTTCTCAGTCCAGGTAGTTTAGCTCACACATGTCAGCTGAATACAGATTCATAGCTTCTAGTGATAAACGTATCAGAGAGCTGACACTGCCGATCTTAACTGGTATCGTATCCATACTTTAAATAGCCATACTCTAAATTCGCTCTTTATTTTAGGAAAGCAGGTAGTGTACATTATGCTGACTTAAGTGACTTAGACCATTTGGACAAAGTTGAGGAAAAGAGTACAGGGAAGAAGAGGAAATATATACAGGCCTGGGACCCAGAAGTTGGCCTTCGAAAGAAACAGTAATAAGCCAGAGAAAGACAAACACCATATGATCTCACTTATGTGTGGAATCTAATTAACAAAATAAACTGATGAACAAAATAGAAACAGAGACATGGACACATGGAACAGACTGTCAGCTGTCAGAGAGGTATGGGGAGGGGGGACTGGATGAAAGAAGGGGAAGGGATTAGCCAAAGAACATATATGCATCACAGACAACAGTGTGGTGATGGCCAGAGGGAAATGGGGTGGGGGCTGGGTGGAGGCAGGCAAGGGCTGGGGGGGGTGGGTGAAATGGGGACATCTGTAATAGTGTAAACAATAAAAAAAATTTTTTTTTTAAAAGAAAGGGAGACTGATAAAAAAGAAAGAGAAACAGTGGCCCATCTCAACTTCTGGGTCTGGCAGTCTACATTTGAAAAATCTGGGTGCAAAACACAACGGTGGAACTTTTGGAGCCAAGAATATTCAGGCACTGGGCCCGTTTCATCCCAGAGGCTAAACAAAGCCATTTGTTTAATGCAAGAATTCAACATTACTTTTGAATACTGATATCTTTGGAAGTGTAAGGCATGATATAATAGAAAGTGTCATAAAATATATCAAATAGATGATAATCAGAATTACAGGGGAATCAATTCACATCAATAAAGAAAGAAATGTCAATGAGACAATAGGTTTAACTACTTGAAAAGGATCTACTGAGACCTTCAACTAAAATCAAAATGTTAAATTTAACATATCAAATAGATATTGCCATTAAAATTACACTTACAAAGATTTATAATACAAGGAAAATACATTATAATATTAAATGGAAAAAATGCAAAATGAAATTTTGATAGAGGTTGTGTTATATAAGTGTATGTATTTGTCAAAACTTAGCAATTATATATCTAAGATTTGTATTTTATTGCATATAAATTTTACCTCATAAGAAGTAAGTATACAAAATACTGAACTTTAATGATTTGCATGCTGAATTATTTAGAGAGAAGCATGCTAATGTCTGCAATTACTTTTAAATAAATTTAAAATATAGGTAGCTTCTGATGGACTGAGGAGGGGGTAGATGCATAGACTGACAAAGCAAGGACACCATACAGGGCAATGCTGACCATAGAATCGAGGTTTCAGTAGATGGTTGTTTACTATAAAATTCTTTCAACTTCACTGTACATTTTAAATTTCAATTAAAAATTTAGGAAAAAAACTATTGAAAGAAAATATACTGAACTGTCACTAAGACAGTCTTTGTGTTGTGAGACTATGAGTGTTTTTTCTTCTTTTTACTATTCCTTTTCCATATTTTTACAGCTTTTAAAAACAATATATTTTATATTCTTTTTCAATTTGAACTTATCTTTATTATTGAATGCATTACAGATGTCCTTCTTTCCCCCCTATTGACTCCCTTCTCCCCGTTCCTGTTCCCCTCCTGCCTTCCCCGCACTATTGTCTGTGTCCATTGGTTATGCATATATGCATAGCAGTTCCTTGGTTTATTTCTTCCTGCCCTGCACCCCCTTCCCTTTGAGATTTGTCAGTCTAACAACCAATTTGTACTTCCTAATCCCTTCATCTTTTTCACCCATCCCCTAAACCCTAAACTATCTGGAAACCAACAAAAAGTTCTCTGTATCTGTGAGTCTGTTGCTGTTCTGCCTGTTCATTTTGTTTGTAGATTCAATTGTTGATAAGTATTTCTTGTCATTTTATTGTTCATGTTTTTGGTCTTTTTCTTCAAGAGGACCCTTCAACATTTCATATAATACTGGTTTGGTGGTGATGGACTTCTTTAGTTTTTCCTTGTCTGGGAAACTCTTTATATGTCCATCAATATAAAGGATAGCTTTGCAGGATAGAGTAATCTTGGTTGTAGGTCCTTGCTTTTCATCACTTTAAACAGTTCTTGCCACTCCCTTCTGGCCTGCAAAGTTTCTTTTGAGAAATCATCTGACAGTCTTATGGGAGCTCCCTTGTAGTTAACTACCTGCTTTTCTCTTGCTGCTTTTAAGATTCTCTCTGTCTTTAATCTTTTGCATTTTGATTATGATGTGTCTTGGTATGGGTTTCTTGGGGTTCATTTTGTTTGGGACTCTCTGTGCTTCCTGGACTTGTATGTCTGTTTCCTTCACCAAGTTAGGGAAGTTTTCTATTTTTTCAAATAGGTTTTCCAGTTTTTGCTCTCTCTTCTCCTTCTGGCACCCCCATGATGTGAATGTTGGTATGCTTGAAGTTGTCCCAGAGGTTCCTTATACTATCCTCACTTTTTTTGGATTCTTTTTTTCTTTTTGCTGTTCTGATTGGGTGTTTTTTGCTTGCTTATATTGCAAATCGATGGTTTGCTTCTTGGCTTTACCTACTCTACTATTGATTCCCTATAAATTATTCTCCTTCATTTCTGATTGGTCCTTTTTAATGCTCTTGAGGCCCTCAGTAAGTTCATTGAGCATCCTTATAACCAGTGTTTTGAACTCTGCTTCTGTTAGATGGCTTATCTCCATTTCATTTAGTTCTTTTCCTGGAGTTCTGTTCTGTTCTTTCATTTGGGACATGTTCTTTGTCTCCTCATTTTGGCTGCTCCCTGTGTTTCTTTCTATGTATTAAGTAGAGTTACTATGTCTTCTAGGCTTCCTATTATAGTAGGTATCCTGTAGAATCCAGTGGCACAACCTCCCTGATCACCCCAGCTGTGCCCTCAAGGTATACCCCTCATGAGGACTGTACACCCTTCTGTTGTAACCGAGTCTTGATTTCTGTTAGCATGTCAATGAGAAGGATTTACTCAGGCTGATCAACTGCAAGGACTGGCTGTGCCCACTGACCACTGACCTCTGATTCTCTTGGAGGATTAGCTGTGCAGGGGCCCACCACACAGAGCAAGACTTACTTCAGCAGGGCTCTGGTACCCACTGAGTCCCCTCATTGAGTGTGTCACTTGTGGAGGTGGTTTGGTGGTGGTGCTTCAACATGATCTGAAGTAGTCCACTGGGTGTCCTGGCTCTGGGGCAAGGTCAGCCACTGCCTGTGTTCTACCCAAGGCCACCTGGCATAAGCTACAAAGCAGTCTGCAGATGGCTGCTTCTTGTGCTGTGCTTGGAGGTACCCAGACAAAGCAAAGTTGTGAACCAAGACTGGCTGCTTCTAGTGCTGGGTCTGGTGCCACTTAATGAGAGGTATGAGGCTCGCTGAGACCAGATGCTGCTTGTTTGAGAGATTTTATTTTTTATTTATTTATTTATGTATTTATTTATTTATTTATTTTATCCTCACCGGAGGACATTTTTCCTTTTTTTTTTTTTTTTTGGTACAGATAGAGTGGGAGGGAGAGAGAGAGAGAGAAACATCCATGTGAAGGGACACATCGAGTGGCTGCCACCGCACGGCCAACCAGGGCCGGGGACAAACTGCAACCGAAATATGTGCCCTTAGCGGGAACCGAACCCGGGTCTCTCCGGACCGCAGGCCGACGCTCTAACCGCTGAGCCAAACCGGCCAGGGCTGTTTGAGAGATTTTAGAAAAGTCTGAAGCAGCAGCCAACACAGGCCAATCCTATGGTAAAGCCACTGGAAACAGCTTGGGTGGGCCTGAAAGATGAGTGGGGCGGGGCCTCAGGGAATCACCAGGTGGGGCCAACAGTGTGAGCCAGGTTGCTGAAGTCCCAGATATGGCTGCCATCAGCCTGTCTCATGGGGGGAGGGCTCACCAAAGGAACAATGACCCCTGCCAGCACATCTGTCTGGGAGAAAGCTGCCCTACAGCCCTCACCCTAATGCAAAACAACTCAGTTCTTCCCCATATGTCTCTCGTGCCTTTCAAGCTGGAGCCTGGAGGGTGAAAGTCTGAGCAAGTCCATGCATAGGCCCTTTAAGAGAAACTGCCTGGCCAGGCTGGTGTGGCACAGTGGTTGAGCATTGACACGTGCACTAGGAGGTCACCAGTTCAATTCTCAGTCAGGGCACATGCCCAGGTTGTGGGCCAAATCCCCAGTGGGGGGGGGCATGCAGGAGGCGGCCAATTGATGTTCTCTCTCACTGATGTTTCTATCTCTCTTCCTCGTTCTCTAAAATCAATAAAGAAAAAAAATTTTTTTTCTTTCTAGTTTGTGCCCTTGGTGTGTTAGAAAATCATAGCCTACCCAACCAAGGTCATAAAGATTTTTCTCCTTTTTAAAAAATGAGAACTTTCAAATTTTGCTTTTCATACTTGGATTTTTATTTAATCTGGAGTTAATTTTTGCTGTATGGTGTGAAGTAGGGTTTCCCCGGAACCATTTATGATGCAGCCTGTCTGCAATGGTCTGTAACACCTGCTATCTGTATAGTTTCCCACATGCATGGGACAATTCTGGCTCTCTGCTTGTCTGTTCCCCCACTGCCTTCATTACTATGCTTTATGATAACACTTGCTATCTGGTAGTGCAGGTTTCCCACTTTT